TTATAATACTACTACTACTATTACTACATACAACACAGGCTAATAAAAACAACAATGATGACATTGTAGTTCACATGTGATACACCTGTGCCACAGCATAGTCTTCTATATATATATATATATATATCAGCTGATGATGATATACACTAGTTTTATGACTAGGATCACATGTTTTATTTAGTAGTAGATAGATAGATAGATAGAGATATTTACATGCATAAATACATATACATGTTGTGTATAATCTAAAAAAAAAAGTTCAAATGATTGTGTGAAAATGTGTTCTTGTCAAGGTCTATTTTTTCCGTTCGTTTCTCCTTCTAAGTGAATATTATTTATATCTTCTTGTTAAAGAAACCGATGTTTTCTTCTTTTTCTAGAAGTGTACAATTGATGATATATATATATATATACGATTCTAGGATGAACACAAAAACATACATACTTGATTTAGATTAGAATTAGTGTTTTTGTATGATTATCTTGAAATGAAATCAATTAGTGTTGCATTGAAATCACGAGATTGGTTAACGACCTTGAATGACATGGCTCAAAATTGTTTGCAGAGGCTTAGATGCATCTACTCGTTGTGTTCTCTCAAATTCTAACCTTCTGAATTCTTCATCATCTCTGTCTTTCTTTTTCTAAAGTTATCTTACTGAATTATACTTCTTGAATCATATCTTCGATCCTTGATATTCTCCAATACCAGTTAATTCTTCTACTATCTCCACTACTATTGGATATGAATTGACTGTGGCGTCTCTGTGGGGTAATGTGAGGAGATATGGCAGCTTGAACTGACGTACGTACGTACATACGAAATTCTACGTTGTAACTGACTACTGACACTCAGTACTACACTTTCATACATGTATTACTTTTTCAGTATAATGGTGAGTATACTATCTGGTTGGATAGAGTCCACTCTGTAATCGCAACTAGTGTTTGTAGATGTTGGTTGATATGACTCAATTCAGGTTACATTTATTCTCTATGCCTTTAGTTAGATCTTGAGGTTTTTGAAATCTCATTCTCATTATTTCTTATTTCTCAACCTCATTGTTACTTCATATTCTGTATGTGTTTAGCTTACTTGACTGTCATCAACTTACTACTCTGTCTTCACTTTGTAACAACTACCCACTCATCTTAACTCCATCTTACTGTATTGGTAGTAGTAGTATAGCATGCGAACTTGACTGATTGATGATGATAGATCAGCACGATATCATTAGGCTATAGAATAGTTAGAACCCAATAGGTTGTGTTCATGTCCCTCTTAGATATTTGTTTCAGTTTACGCGTTATACGCGTTATTCTCATTAACTATTATAGATTGCTTATAATTATTATTATTATCATATCGCTTTCCGATGATGTTTCAATGAAAATACATGTATCTGCACTCGTTTGTTTTGATATGACGGAAAAAAAGATGAACAGGTTCTGTTGTATGCTATATTGATGCCCATCCAATGGAGCTAATATTATTGCCTATTGAACTGATGATCTCTTTATCTAATTTGACAGAGTTACCAATTGACAACAATCAAAAATGCTTAGTGTTGCTTAAACTATTTTTCTAATTTATTTTTTCCAATCTTCAATTGAAAATAGAAAGTTGATCCATTCTCATACAGTAGTGTATACCTAAAACTACCTGATCACACAGTAGCACAGTTAGAAAATTACAATTTACACATAGCTTAAATTATAAGTATAATACAATCTTGATAAATATGATGCCCCGGTTTATGAGTTAAACAAAAATTTGGAAAAAACAAAGCAAATCTAAAAAGACCACGTCTACTAATTAAGCATTGTACAATTAAAATATAAATAATAGTCTTTCGCATGATGATAGTCTCCAAATACTATCTCGTTTCGTTTTATCAAATTTATTAAACTGAGTGGTTTTTTCCCCTTTCATCTTCATTTTTTCCTATGGCTTCATTCATTATTCGTGTGATTTAAATTCGCCTGTTTCAGACCAAAAAAAAGATATTTTTTTTGGTAAACATTTTCCCGACAATTATACATCCTATATATTATATGGGTTGTATTTTCTGCTTCTATCATCTATGATGTTAAATGTCATTGAATGTTTATTCTTTAACAAAAAAAAATGTATTGGTTTCACTAAAATCCGTAGAAAAAAAATAAAGGTTTTTTTTTTAAGTTCACCACCTATATATAACAATTGCGTAATTCGCTGTCACGTAGTAGACTTATAATCAAAGTTTAAGAAAGAAGCGACTTCTCCTCTCAACTGTATCATTTTTACTAAAATATTATTTATACAAATAATTAAATAATTTAATTCTTTGTCACAATTAGGCATTATTCTTCTTTTTTTTATTTTTGTAAAATGAATAGGTCACTTTTTTATACTGTATGTGTATGTCTTAAAATCAAGATCTCTTTCTTTTCATTTTGTGTTTGCTAACTGAAAAAAATAATCAGCTGTTTGTTCAAAAGTTCCAAAAAAATGTTACGTTTGCTTTGCTTTAGCAATTTCGGCTTCCACATTGTAATGAATGAACGAATGACCTATTACTAACTATGTATGATGTACTTCGTATCAGGTTAATTCTATTGTTAGCGTAACGAATTCACATGAGACTATTCGCAAACGAAGCATATTAGAAAAAAAAAGAGGTGAATAGACAAGAAGAAGACGAAGGAGAAGCTTTATTTAACGAATGTGAATCAATATGTCGGCTATGGGTTGTCCGTCTCTCTCTCTCTCTCTCTAAACCAGTAAGAGAGAATAGATAAAATTGTAGGATACAGACATGTATTCAATTAAGCTGTGACACATTCGTGTATACAAAATGGAGTAGATCAAATGTCTAACTTATACAGTATGTAGGTAGGTAGGTAGGTAATGTAAAATAGTTCACATAAAAATAAAAGTTAACTAAGGATTACTTACTATATAGTAATCCGTCTTCCAAGAACACATTAAGGTGTGTTTTTTTTTTAACATATACGTTTGAGTATGCGACAATGACAATTAATATTTATTAAATGAATAAAGAAAAAGGAATGTTTCATATATTCCAATGAACAGATGTTAAATTTAGAGTACAATAAAGTATTAATCAAGTTTACTGGGCTGAAGTTTCTGTGTACTATTTTCAATGTGATGCTGTCAAGTCAAGTCAACAATAACGTAGAACTTCGTACGTACGTACGTACGTACGTACTTAGGTACATCAGTTCAAGTTGCCATACCAAATTAGTACAGAGATGTAATTGTCAATTCAAATCCCGTAGTAATACAGGTAGTAAAGGTATTAGGAGTGATCGGAGAGATTTGGATTCGAAGATATTACTTAAGAAGTAGAACCTAGTGAAATAAACTTTAAAAAAAAGATAAAGGTGATGAGCAACTCTGAAGGTTAGGATTTGAAAGGACACACAAAGAATGAATGCACACGCGCCATTGCAAACAATTTCGAGCCATGTAATTCAGAGTCTCTAACCATTGATTACTATCACGTAGTCGACACCTACCAACATGGCTCAGTCCACTTGTCAGTGACTTCATGGATCTCTGTACCATGTTTTGGGTTGGCCGCTCCTAGCTTTCTACCAACCCACTCGTACACCGCAAAACATAACTCGACGACGCAGTCGATGATTGAGCATACATGTCCAAACCACCTGAACTGATGAGATTTCAATACTTCATTCACTGATCTGCCACCCTTACCTAGAACCCGTTTTCTAATTAAAGCATTGCTTACTCCGTTGTCCTATGATACACGAGCAGTGCTTCGGAGACACCTATGATCGAAGACAAACAACCTACGAACATCTTCTACTTCTACTGGCCATGTTTCCCAGCCATGGCTATGAGTTGTATGAATGACAAAAATACTTGTTACAAACGATCAGTGATGATAACACATCATGTTTTCCAGCTCACTTCAAGGTGACTGTTTTGCCAACTTTTCGTATGATTTTTGAAGAATAATCAATCATAAGAAGGTTGGCTGTCGTACTCTATCACTTCTAATGATTACGTATGTACTGACGTCTAACTTTCTATGAACCAATAACTTTGTTTTATGAGTTCATCGAGCTTATTGACACCATCCGCTGCTCTATGTAGTTGATTATATATGCTGGAACTGCTTCTACACAGTCGAGTAACTTACATGATAAGAATAATGTTGTTCCATAAACCAACTCAGCAATGAAACAACTGATGTTCTTTTGAGAGCTATGAATACTGAAAGGATTAAAGTATAATCGTAGTTCTTTTCTCCGTATGTCTTAATCTTTATAGTTTAAGCTTGGTGTCATGGGTTTTTGCAGAACTTTAATGACTGCCCTAACGCCAACCAGGAATTGTGTTCCTGTCTTCTTATCTCTAACTTACAACTAACTGTGTTGGTGGTTGTAGTTGGGGATTTCGGCCGTCCTTAATCGCTGGCCTTTTGGTTTTTCAGACTAGTGTTTCAAATCATCCACTCGTTGTGTTCTGTGAAATTCTAATCTTCTGAATTCGTCACCACCTCTATTTTTCTCTTTCTAAATTTATCTCACTGAATTATACTTCTTCATTGATATCTTGGAGTCGTAATCTTTTCCATTACCAGTAATACTTCTACTATCTCTTCCACTATTGGATTTGAACTAACAATTGCGTCTCTATGCTAGTGTGGTATGGCAACGTGTACTGATGTACTTACGTACGAAGTTCTACGTTTTAACTGACTGACTCTGGTATTTGTCTTGATTATTTCATTCTTCCCATGTGTTGATTGTGTGGGGCAACTTGAACTGATGTACATATATGTTGTATTCTACGTTACTCATGACTGACTGACCATTTAGATGGTATGATTTTATTTAACACCATTAAGATTTGTTCGTCAGCACATCATACAATCACTAATATTTCGTTTTAAACAGATTTAAGTGCAATGTATGTTTGTGTATTTACATTCTCTCCTATTAAAGCTTTTTGTTTTTCTAAATTTCAGATAATCATTTCCGAGTTACACTACGTCATACAGGTGATGGTAGTAAATTATTTCAAGGTCTCCAGGGCAGTTTACATGTACAACATTGGCGATTATGTTTGATAGGTGAACCATCAACCGGTTGTAAATTCATTTGTAACTGGCGATTGGATCATGTTGATAAAGCATATACAATGACTATGCCTGCACAGAGTGCTAATCAATTCTTATCAAACAATAATACTAACAATAATAATTCTAGTATTATAAATACCTCTAGTAATTCTACTACTGTGAGTAGTAATTCAACGTCAGGTATCAGTAATAGTTTCACAACAATAAATCCAACATCGACATCTGCCACTTGCCTATCTTCATCTTCATTTCATACTGGTCATTTGTCGAATCTGGACAGTCATAGAACTGGATCAACCATAATGTCAGCAGTAACAACATCGACATCAAATTCTATCACTGTCAACAATCCGAACAAACATTTATTTTTCATGGAATGTAGTCCAGCTTCAGGAAAAGGTAAATAAATCATTTTTAATTTTTTTTACATTTAAAAGATAACATAACATTGTTCATAATAATAATAGTTCATTGTTTTTGATGAAACATTTCCTTCAGCCGTTGTACATTGATTTCAGACAGTCATTTTTTTTAATGTTAGAGTTAAAAAGATGCTTTGGTTGCCATTTTAGCTATGTGTCAGAGAGAGAGAGAGAGTACCGACCGGAGCTGCTACCTTGACGTGGTGGTCAATCTTGCCTATCATGATGACACACCACAAAACATTGCTCGTCTAGGCAGGCAGTCTCTGTTTTGGGCATTGCGTAACACATGTTCCATCCACCGACTGCCTCGATGAGCAATGTTTTGTTTTGTATTAGCAGGCTGGAAGAAAGCTAGAGGCGGCCGAAAAAAACCATGGCACAAATCCATGAAGTCATTGAAAACTGAACTAAGCCATGTTGTTAGGTGTCAACTGCCTGGTTGGCGTCTGCAAGATAATAGTGACCGATAGTTAGAGACTTTGAATGACATGGCTCCAAACCGATTGCAATGGCGCAGATTCATCCAATCTTCGTCTTCTCTTAAATTCTAATCTTCTGAATTCGTCATGACCGTTTTGTCTTTTTTTTTTAAAAAAATTTGTTTCATTGCATCATACTTCTTGAATAATATACTCAAACCTTATTCTTTTTTATGACCAGTAATACTTCAACTACATCTACCGGTATCGAATTTGAATTGACAATTAAATCTCTGTGATAACGCGGTGTGGCAACTTGTACTGATATACAAACGTACGTACCAAGTTCTACGTTATAGTTAACTGACTGTCAGAGAGAACGAATTTAAGCGATACAACTATATGATTTCCAAAACTAAAGTAGATGAAGCCTTTGTTCAAGCCTGGACGCCAGCCAAACAATGCTTAACTCACGAAACTAAACGTTACACATTATTATGCTTCACGTTAAGTTAACAAATGCTAACCTTAACTTATATCAATCGAAATTTATTCCGTTAAAGACGGAAACTTGTTGTAATTAACTGTAATTATGTGAATATGAAGTGCAGTCTATCAGAACAGCTACTTACTTGGAATAGATCATCTGCCTTAATTATCTAAAATCAATAGTTATCAGGACAACAACTCAAGAGATTAGAATATATTGTGATTTGTTAAAAAAAACTTTATATATTACAGATGAGTTAACTGTTTTTTTTTGTATACCAACCAAGATTTCATGAATATATATGTATTTAATCCTTGGTTTTCGTAAGATACTAGATTTCAACAATATCTTATATGCTTTTATCATTTCTCTTAAACTATTTCGTCTACACTTAATGTTTTTTCAACTACCACTGATACTCCTACTATTTATTTTTAGCATTTATCCTATAATTATTTCATTGTCCTAATGTGATTTATCAACTGGATGCTAGGTTTTTACGCTTCATAGAACTGACTGATGTGTGTTTTTCTTCAGAGACTCGTGAAATAAGAATCCATGCTGAAGTTATATTGTAGCGAACGACAACACAGGTGGGGCAACCGGATTGTATTTAACAAAAAATTACAGAGTTACTCAGTAAAATCGGAAAACCATATCGTAAATCGTTCATTTGCAGTTCATCATATCGAACTGGACTGTTCCTGTTGCAAAACATCAATTTATTGTCACTATTCATGCGTTTCATACAAATTCCATTGTGTTCTTCTAACTCTTCCTTTCTTGATCTTCCCTCATCTTCTGCTGCCAGACATTACGTTGACACTCACGTTATATACTACTTATAAGTAGCTCGCACCACAATACCAGATCAAAGATTTACCATCATGTTGTATCACATCAAGAATGTATTCTACTATGTAGCTGTTTCATCTTGTAATCATTTCTCACTTTGAGGTCTACATCGATAAAATCAGTCTTGTAGAAGAAAGAGGAACACTAACTACCAATTAAGCATTCCCTTTCATTTTTATCATTGATAATTCGATCATCAAATAAAAAAAAATGTCCCTCACTTCATAATGCAAATCGCTAATGTATACCATAATCCAATCACATACTACGAAGGAATATTTTCGTATTTGGTTGCTTCGTCAAATTTATCCAGTTTAAGTTATGTGTGGGGGTATACACTTGAAATAATCACGTGATTTGCAGTAATAGAATTGTGATCACATTCCAAAACTACTTATCCAATGAGAGATGAAAATTTGCTTCATCTTCACAATTAAGACTGATATTAAGTTCTGTCTGACAACGCCGCTTCCAACTACTATTGGGCACGATCATGGTGCATATTTTAGGCAAGAGTAATTTTACATTGGTTTTCAGGAGAAACAGACACTGTTCACATGTTAACAGTACACCTCAATCCTGTGGCGTAACCACACAGGTAGGTAGGTAGGTACCTGACACCCTGGCCGACCAGCATCGCACATATCTCAACCAGGTAGCATGTGTCTACCAACGTGACTGAATCCATCATTCTATATGACTTCACAAAGTGTTTACAATTTTCTATTTGTCATCCATTCACTCTGAATCAATGCTTAACTAATTTTAGTATTCCTTGTACATATCCGTCTTTTTTTTCTATTGATCACCTATTTTTTCATTACAATACTTATTAATATTAGGTCGTGGTTCATATATTTTCGAAATTGATGGTAGCCGGTTGGTGGAGTTAACCATAGCTATTGAACAATTCACTGCATTACGTTATAATCCTAATTTGAAACCGGCTACATCGGCCGAAGCATCCCAATTAACAGCTACAGCTCAATCAAATTTAAGTACAAATAGTTTTGTGACAATTGATCGTTGTAATAATAATAATAATAATTTTCTACGTAATAATAATAATCCAATGTGTACCATACACACTAATATCGGTGGTGCGGGTGGTGGTTGTAGTAGCAGTATGACAGATGATTTAGGCGTTGCATCTTCATCATTCTCATCAGATACAAGTAGTAATCCACGATCTGTATCTCCAACCCATCATCATCATCACCAGCATCATCCTCAACCACAGCAGCAACAACAACAACCATTGACAAAACGACGTAGTCGTGATAGTATATTTAATCCTTTAAGAAAAATATCCGCTGGACATCATAATTTTAATCTATTATTCAACAAAACAAATGATTATCAATCTTCAACAATAGATCGTTTTCTCAGTAAACAAACAATGTCATCATTTCATCATATGACTTCTACGGCGGGGGCGGCGATGACAACGACAACAGCAGCAGGAACAATGACTACTAGCACTATTGTTACGGAACAATCATTAATGCCGCCTGTATTACATTCGAAATATAGTATGAATTTTCAGCGAACATCATCATTATCTCCACCAGATATGATGATGATGATGACGACGACAACCAATGATCCGCCTATATTATTAGATCATTATAATCCTAATTCATTGTCAAGATGTGATCGTTTATTATTAAATCAGACTAATTTTAAAGAGAAATTCGATCCAAGTGGCGGTGGCGGTAGCGCTGCTGCTGCTGCCGCTGCGACAACTCGAGTAACAACGATTACGAATAATAATAATAATAACAATATGCAAGAAGGTATGTCTTGTTGTTGTTTTTTTCTTGGCATCATGATTGTTTGGTAATTTTTTCAATGTTTGTTTTTAAATAGTAATGTTTTGTTTTTCTTTCTATGCCGGGTACATTGGGGAAAGCTCTTTATATAACAGTCAGTCAGTCATATGCAACGTAGAACTTGGTACGTAAGTACATCAGTTCATGTTGCCATACCACATCAGCACAGAGATGTAATTGTCAATTCAAATCCAATAGTAGAAGAGGTAGTAAAGGTATTAGAAGTAATCGGAGAGGTTAGGGTTAGAAGATACTATTCAAGAAGTATGATTCAGTGTGAAAAGTTTAGAGAGTCGAAACTAGAGGGGTTGAAGAATCCAGAAGATTAGGATTTGAGAGAACATAAAGAATAAATGCACCGGCGCCATTGCGAACGGTTTCGAGCCATGACAATCAGGGTATCTAACTATCGATTATTATCATCTCGCGGACCCCAACCAGGTAGTCGACAATTACCGACATGGCTCAGTCCACTAGTCAATGACTTCACGGATTTCTGTCATGTTTTGGTTTGGCCGCCCCTAGCTTTCTTCCAACCTATTCCTGCACTACAAAACAAAGCTCGACGAGGCAGTCGGTGGTTAGGCATAAGCAGCACATGTCCCAACCACCTCAACTGATGAAGTTTCACCGCCTCATCAATTGATCTGCCATCCCCACCTAGCACCCGTTTGCTAACGACAGCATTGCTTATTCGGTTGTCCCACGGTATACGAGCAATGCTTCGAAGACACCTATGATCGAAAACCAATAACCTACGAATATCTTCTACTCTCACTGGCCATGTTTCACAGCCATATAGGAGAACGGAGCGAACCACTGCACAGTACACTCGTCCTTTGATTAGAGAACGGATATCACGCCTACGCCATAAGTGACGCAGGTTGGCAAAAGCCAATCGAGCCTTCTGTATCCGAGCTGAGATTTCGTCAGTCACCAGGCCATCGGCACAGATGAGACTCCGAAGATAAGTGAAGCGGTCTACACGCTCGACTACTTCACTCCCTATCACTAGTTCAGGTGCCGATGCAACCCAATCTTGAAGCAACATTTTGCATTTCGAGGGGGAAAAGCTCTTTATATATATTGTGAAGTAAAGTTTTATATTGAGTTTTCGTGAAGTGATAAATGATTGGGTTTGAGATCCACGAGATGATTGATAGTAATCGATGATTAGAGACCTTGAATGATATGATGACTCAAAATCGTTTGGAATGGGGCGCAGCAGGTGGTGCATCCACTCCTTATGTGTTCTATGAAATTCTAATCTTTTCTAAATTTCTCATTACCTTTATGTTTGTAAATTTATTTCACTTCGGATCCTTATCTTTTCCATTATCAGTATGGGATTTAAAAAGGGACAATTGTTTGTCTGTGGTGCTAATGTTGTGGTATGGCAACATGAACTGATGTACGTACGTACAAAGTTCTATGTTGTAACTTACTGATTAACTGATGATTTTTAGGCTAGATAGACAATCATTTGAAAACTAAGAATTCTTGAACATTTATCGTCTTCAGTACCTATATGAACCTGTTGCCTTGAATATTCACAGAACACTTGTTGCTGCTGTTTTTTTACTTTTTGTCAGAGTATAATAATGGTTTTAAGTTTCAATTTTTTTATCAGTTTACTATGTAACAATGGTAATATCTCTTCTATTCATTCATTAGGTTTTTTATTTGATACTTGTTGTATATGCAACTGAGTCTTTTTATCCACTCGTTATATAATGTGAATATATTCAAGTGTTGTCACTATATATATATATATGTCTGATGATTTATGTTTTGTGTGTGTGTGTGTGTGTGTGTGTAAGATTGATACTTTCTGTTTTATGTGTTATCATATGAGAATAGGCAAAGTCATTTGAATTTACTTGATTTTACTAATTAATTGTTAGAACAACACATATAAGCGAACAATATTGTTGTTTTCGATTAGATCGTCATCAGGCTTTACTCTCTAATATACAAATTCAGCTGCTCCTGTGGAGATAGCTATATCGGGCGTACTTCCAGGCAACTAACTTACCCAACGAATGAGTGAACATCTCCCAGCATGGTTTACAAAGGGTCAGTCAAAAACAATACGCAGTTCTATCTTAGCATACCTGGTAGATAGTGGTCACATTGTAGATAAATCTAGATCGTTTCGGGTGATCTATCGTATACCTCAATCATTTCCCAACGGAGTTCGATCCCGTCTCCTACACATTGCAGAAGCCATAGGAATACGCACATGCAACCCTGATTTATGTGTTCAGAAGCAATTCGTGACACCCCTATCTCTTCCGTGGCCGGATATGACGTAACTAACGATTGACATTATATAAAATTTTATTTATTTTAATTTTATTATTTTTATTATTTTTAAACATCTGCTTATTACGTAATGTTTTTGATATTTTTTGATGATAATTTGAATTCTATTCATCCACCTTTGACCTACTTTAGTTATCATATTTTATAAATTTTCCTACTACCATTGGTTCACCTTTCTTCCTACTCATCCACTTGTACTTTTGCCTTTTTCATTTCATTGTGATTATCACTCAAATTGCCTTGATTGGTTTAACATTTTCATACATAAATATTCATGTATATTACAGTAAAGCCTGATGACGATCTAATCGAAAACAACAATATTGTTCGCTTATATGTATTGTTCTAATTTTCACAATGGGAATCTTTAATACTCATAATTAATTGTTGTTTTTTGATAATGATCGTAATGGGATAATAATTCATATAAGTCATTTATCAAGGATTAGGTTATATATTCCGATTTATCTGACAGTCTTGTACTCATTTGACGGCTAATGAACGATGTTGGTAGGGTAACGAACGACTCAATCTTTCTGATGATTTTGGTCGAAAGTCGGTTAGTTTAACCGTTAAACTTTTCCTTACAGTTTTGAATATCAATCACAGAATAAGGTAGCTCTTACTACTACCAGTGGTGGTGATATACACATCAATCCATGAAGTCACTGACTAGTGGACTGAGTCATGTTGGTAGATGTAGACAACCTGGTTGGGGTCCGCGAGACGAAAGGCACCAATGTTTACAGAATCGTTTGCAATGGTGCAGGTGCATCCACTGTTTGTGTTCTCTCTAATTCTAAGCTTCTGAATTCCTCATAATCTCTACCTTTCTCTTTCTAAATTTATCTCACTGAATTATACGTCTCGAATCATATCTTCGCTGCCTAATCTTTTCCATTACTGCTAATGCTTCTACTATCGCTATCACTCTTGGATTTGAACTGACAATTGCGTCTGTGTGCTGATGTGGTACGGCAACCTGAACTGATTTACTTATGTACGAAGTTTTGCGTTGTATCTGTCTGTCTGTCTGTCTATACATATCAATACCTGTTGACACAACTTAATGCACAACTATATGCACTCTGTATATCAATAGAATAAACGTATGTTTTTAAGTATTTAAATGAAGCCTAATTATAATTGATATGGGTTTGAGTTGCACAACATTGTGCAACAACAATTCTCTCCAAATTTCCACATAATAATAGCCTAGTTAATATATGAGAATGCACTTAAAAATTTTACAACTAGAAAAATGTTAGATTTTTATTCATTTATCTTTTGATGATGATGATGATGATGATAGTTAACTTAACTGGAAGTTTTTACCTCTCTCTCTATTCCAACAAGTATAGATTACATACAATTTCATTGATTTAGGTGTATATATATATATGTATACGTAATATAATTCCTCTTGTTGCTTAATGTACATGTATGATTTTAAAAGATTCACAGAATTCTCTCACTCTCTCTCTCTCTCTCTCTCTCTACACACACATACTACATGCGCGCGTAAACAATTAAAGACTGATTAAATTTATTGTCCGTTTTCTTTCTTCGTTTTTCTCTCGTTTTTTTCTTAAACACAAAATTTTCAAAACTTTTATGACCATCGTGTTATGATTACTTTTTTGTTTTTTTTTTGAAAAAAAAATCTGTCTATGGTGTTAAATAGGCATTTGAAAATAAGATGATTCCATCTCTCTCTCTCTCTCTCTCTGTGTAGCGCTCGCTCGCGCGCGCGCGCTCCCTCTCGCCTTATACACACACACACACACACACACACCTATGTGTGTATATCATCTGTCTTCTGATGTGATGTGTTGTTGTTGCTGTTGATCACAAGTAGTAGTACAATTGGGACATGAAATTTTCACCTTAACAAAAATTAAACTAAACTAAACTAAACTACATATATGAAAAAGTAATAGATTTTCAAATGTGTAAAATAAAATTTTGTCTCAATATTGTTCATTCTATTTATTATTATTATAGATTTGCTTATTTCTTTCTTAATCAACATTCCTAAAATCACACACCAATCCTAATGCATTATTTATTTGGTGTATATATATATAGTGCATATCTGGCCTATTCATCATCTCTGCCTATCGATTTGTGCATGGATTTTTATTTTGATCAGTAATAAATTTTGTGTTATGATGGCGGGCGGCAATTTTGATTGGATCAATTGAAAATTATGGAATTTTCACTTTCTCTACTATGTTTCTATTGCTATTGCTGCTGTAAAAAAATGGACTGAACTTGTTGAATTCAATCCTGTTTTTACTGTGGTGATGATGATGATGATTGATCATCACTTTAATAATGCAGTAACATTTTCCCTCGAGAACATCACGACGCATCATATAAGCGAATAATATTACTGTTTTTTCAATTTAGATCGTCTCATCAAGCTTTTTACTGTCTAATTAATATACATGAATATTTATCATGATGAAAATGTTAAACCAATCAAGGCAGACAATTTATAGTGAGTCAATCATCACAATGCAATGAAATAGATTATTACGTCACTGCACAAATAATAGCCAAAAGTACAAGTTGATAACAGTTGGGAGACAAGTGTACTACTGATAGTATAGTAAGAAAAATATGAAATATGATAA